CAGTGTAACGCCTTTCCGCGTCGCGACTCGCGACGCGCGAGGAGACATTCCGCGCGGTCTTCTCTCCGCGACCCCCGGCCCACAGTGGATTCGCCAGAAAATCGGCGGACGCGGCCGAAACTCTACTCTACAAATCGAAGAGCGTACATTGTATGCTCTAACTATGGAGCATGCCTGCAAGCACGCTCTAGCTAGCGCATGCCTGTCAAGCATGCACTTACTAGTGCATACATGCCATGTACACGCTAACTGAAGTATGCATCTAGTGCATAAGGGATAGGGAGTTGCCTGCATCAGGAAACGTGTACATGGCATGTATGCACTAGTAAGTGCATGCTTGGCAGGCATGCGCTGCCTAGAGCGTGCTTGCAGGCATGCTCCAGTAAGCTAGCATACAATGTACGCTCTTCGATTTGTAGAGTAGGCGCGTTTTGGGCTCCGAAGTCGCTAAACAGGCCTCGAACCGAACGTGTGACCCCACCAATGGATTCCTCGTTTGGAGAGCAATCCATTGGTGGGGTCACTCGTTCGGTTCGAGTCCCATTTAGCGACTCTAGAGCTCAAAACGCGTCTAGAGTTTTGGCCGCGTCCGCCGGTCTTCTGGCCCACTGTGCGGCCCCCTCTCCTCCCCTGTTCCCCCAAACGTGGCCGCGGCCGTGCACTCATCATCAATTTGGCCGATCTTATCGGACACTTTCACTCGAGGACCGCGCCGCCGCCGACCGCACTGTATCGCGGCAACGGCGCTAGCAAAAGGCGTCAAAGCACGCTTCACTTCTACCAGTGCACCACCATCACCGCCGGCGGCCGCGCTGTATCGCGGCAACGCGGTGATGGTGGTGCACTGGTAGAAGTGAAGCGTACTTTGACGCCTTCTGCTAGCACCGTGGCTGCTGCGGTCAGCTTCAAAGCTCAGCCTCAAGCGTATTTGCTTGCTTGAATGAAGCGTTTAACGACGCCACTTCAGTTTTACCAGTGGGGTGGCGAACCACATTACCCGCCCTAAAGCGGCGGTGTTGACGAAAGCGATTTGAATGTGGCGCGCGAACGACGACTGCATCGTTGGGCCGCACCAGAGAGGACGCACCTGGCATAGACTGATCCCATCCGAGAGTCGTTTCCGTCGCTCCGTCTCTCTCGCACCTGTACGGGACGCCCCGTGAGTGCGAGAGAGACGGAGCGACGAAGCTATGTTCGGCCGAACCGAGACGAGTGCTTCGGGATTCGTTCGGCTCCTGTCGCCCCACTCAGCGCCGCTCCATTCATTCCGCTAGCATCGGGTGAAGAGAGCGGTTGTTGTCTTCGTCGTGCGTGAGCTGTTTGTTCGTCCGAAAGGGTTTCTCGGGTCGCCGACTTGGCGAAAGGGTCTCGCAGTGCCGTGGGGCGTGGGTCAAGGTGGACAGCAAATGGAATGGCTTGTGCCGGCTTGTGCACTGTGAATCGATGCCGCCGACCGGCCGGCCGAAACATAACCTATTCTTTCTGACAGCGCGCGCTGGGCTGCCGCCCCCGAGAACACGAAACGCTCACCGTGACAGCATTTGATGTCAATATGGCTGCTTGTAGTCAAAATTTCGACCAAAAAACGTCAATTTGACGGTTACGTTGACGTCGTTTTGACTTCTTTGACATCTTCGTGAGTGTTTCGTTTTTATTGGGGCCGCGCCCGGCGGCACTCTTGGCCAAAGCTGCTACACCGTGAAACTAACGGTGGAGGGGCATCGCAAGCGACACGACGACAATCGGCTTGTCTGCGTCTAATTAAAATGGTTTAGCTAGCGACAGCTTTGACAGAAAATGTGCTTTGCCTATGGAAGTCGTCCTGTTCCACTCGTGGACCGGCCCTGCAAATTGGCTTAGTTGCGGAAACGCGCAGAACAGGAGACCGGGCAGGGCAGTCCTCTCTCTGTCTCGCTGAGGAAGTACTTAACGAGCAGGACGAACGGCTTTGACTTGCTTGCACTGTTTACCTTTGCAGTGACGCCGTGTACACTGTAAAAATTCGTTGTCACTTTATGCACTGTGAGAAAAAAGTACGGAAAAAGTACGGAACATGTCTGGTAGGGTGGTCCAAAAAAATATGAAGTTGCTCGGATCGTCCAACGCCGCCCGGGTTTGGATTCTACATCGAAAAATATGAAATACGTGTTTTTTCCTTTTTCGAAAAAATGATTTTTTGGACCTCCGCAGAGCCCTCAAAGTTTTTAACAGTGCTATTAATAGGAAAAAATCGTAACTTGGTCATTTTTTGACCGATTTTCAAAAACGAAACGGGGATTTGTTCTTTTTTAAATGCTTATTACGAAAACAAATATGCCCAACCCTTTTTTTGGTTTGCCTAACTTTCGGGGGCAAAAAATGACTAAATTTGGGCCCAAATTGGCAATAGTTTCAGTTTGTAGGCCGCTTCACCACTCCAAGTGCACCCTGTCAGCAGGGGGGGGTCCCCCCACCCAAGGCAACCCCCATAAACAAAATTTGGGGATGCCGGGGCAATTTGCCTATCTCCCGGGGGCATCCAATTGTGGATTTTTTTCGAAAACCTATCAATAGTGATTTTTCTTGGGGCCTCGGGCACTCAGATGGGCCCCCTTTTCACACGGTTGGGTACCCGCACTACGTAAAAAAAAAAACAATAGGAATGGAGTTGAGCACCTCATCCCTACCTCTCAGGCCCAAAAAAAAACGTAAAATTTAGAAAATTCCTTCATTTGATGGCTTTTCTTGGGGCCTTGCGGGGTTTTGCGGTCCCTCGCGTCAACAATGTCCATAACGTTCATATCACGTAGTGTGGGTACAAACCGTGTGAAAGTGTGCCCATCTGAGTGCCCGGGGCCCCAAGAGACATCAGTATTGATAGTTTTTCAAGAAATCCACAATTTGATGCCCCTGGGAGGTGGGCAAATTGCACTGGGCACCCCAAATTCTGTTCTTTGGGGCTTGCCTTGTGGGGGGGGCACCCCGCCATGCTGACAGGGGCACTTGGAGTGGCTGAAGCGGCCTACAAACTAAAACTATTCCCAAATTTTGGGCCGAAATTTAGTCATTTTTTGCCCCTAAAAGTTAGAAAAACCCAAAAAAGGGGGTTTGGGCATTTTTTTTTTCGTAATAAGCATTAAAAAACGAAAAAAATCACCGTTTCGTTTTTAAAAATCGGTCAAAAAATGACCAAGTTACGATTTTTTCCTATTATAGCACTGTTAAAAACTTTGGGGGCTCTGCGGAGGTCCAAAAAATCATTTTTTCGAAAAGGAAAAAAAACTCTTTCATATTTTTCGATGTAGAATCCAAAGCCGGGCGGCGTTTGGGCGATCCGAGCACTACACTTTTTTTTTGGGCCACCCCAATGTCTGGTCAATAAATTTTCCTGGCCGTCTGTACTTGCCAAATACGGAACGTTCCGTACCTTTTTTCCGTACCCATTTACATGGGGTTTATATGGAGCAAGTACGGAACGTTCCGTACTTTTCTCCGTACCTCCGTACTATATTTTTCTTTACCATTTCCGTACAAAAGTACGGAATTTTTTACAGTGTGACTAATTCGTGAATGACATTTTCTTTCATCTGAAATACTTCCAAGCGCGGGGACTGAAAACTCCACCCGTCCTCCCCACCTGGTTTCCCAGTGGGGCCGGTCCGGGTCGGCCGTGCCTGTGCCCTTTCGATGTGCGTGCCATCATGTTGGCGGTGGCGTGCCGCCGATATGTGCCTCGCCGTTAGCCGTGCAGGACTGCCGGGGGGGGGGGGGGGGGGGGGGGACCCGTCGATGACAACTTTAACTTTGATGAGCGAAGCGCGCCTCGTCGGCTGGCCGCCCCGTTTTTCCTGTCTTTTGTCCCTTTTTCGCGGCTAGACACGAACCGCCGTGCCGTGCCGTGCCGTGCCGCGCCTTGCCGAGGCGTTCCGGGCTGTGCGAATGAATCATTGGCGAACCGATCGAACGGTGGGCGTGGGCGAGAGGCGCTCTCCTCTCTCTCTCTCCCTCTCTTTCTCTCTTTCTCTCTCCTTCTCTCTCCTTCTCTCTCCTTCTCTCTCCCTCTCTTTCCCTCTCTTTCTCTCTTCTTCTCTCTCCTTCTCTCTCCCTCTCTTTCCCTCTCTTTCTCTCTTCTTCTCTCTCCTTCTCTCTCCCTCTCTTTCCCTCCCTTTCTCTCTTTCTCTCTTCCTCTCTTTCTCCCTTCCCCTCTTTCTCTCTTTCTCTCTTCCTCCCTTCTTCTCTTTCTATCTTTCTCTCTTCCTCTCTTCCTCTCTGTCTCTAATCACCTGAAAGGCAAGTCTCCCTCGCCCCCCTCTCTCTGTCTCTCTCTCTCTTTCTCTGACTCCTGGTTCCGCCAGAGCTCTAATTGGCGCCGCGTCTCCAACGCGACGTCGCCTTTTGCTTTTGGTGGAGAACGGACAACTTAAATTGCATTTCGGTGAGCAATGTTTTGCTTGCCGGTCCTGCCGAACGATTCAGGCCCGTCCATGCACTTGCAGCACGCCACCAGTGCTCAGTGGGCCACCGATGGAGGCGGCCAAAACTCTAGACGCGTTTTGAGCTCCAGAGTCGCTAAATGGGACTCGAACCGAACGTGACCCCACCAATGGATTCGTCGTTTCGCAAGCCATCCATTGGTGGGGTCACACGTTCGGTTCGTGTCCCATTTCGTGACTCTGGCGCTGGAAACTCGTCCGGGATTTCGACCGCCCCCACCGGTCTGCTGGCCCACTGTGCAGTGCAGCAGGGTGGACTTCCCATTTCTTTTTGCTCGTCCTTTCCGACGTGGTGCTCCAAGTGAAGGCAGTGGCGTGGAACCGTCCAACCCCCCCCCCCCTTTTTTCCCCGGTACTCCGATGCACTCCGCAGCACTGAGGGTTGTCTCTAGGTCCTTGTCCGTGCGGTGCGCGGTCTGGCGGTCTGGCGGTCGCGTCACCGTGTCCCCAGAGCGCGTCCAGGGCGTATCACCAGCCACCCGGCCTGCCTTCGGCCTGCCCCTACCTTGGTGCTTCTTTCTTTTGCAGTGGCATCGAGGAGCGCGATGAGATCTTCGCCAGCAGCCAGCTGAGCTGCGTCCCCGCAGCGGTGCAGGCGGCCCCCTCCGCCGCGCCAGTGCCCGCCCAGGCCGCCAAGGCCGTCGGCGTGCCCGCGGCAGAGCCCAAGGCCGCCGCCAAGGCCGCCGCCAAGGCCGAGGCACCCGCCGCGCCGTCGGCCCCGCGCGTCCAGTCCGTGACGGCCACCCTGTTCAAGTCGGTGCCGGCCGAGCCCCAGGTCGCCGTGCCGGCCGTGCCCGAGGTGGTGGTGCTGCCCCCCGCCAGCCCCACGCCGCCGCTGCCGCCGCCGCCCTCGGTGGACATCAGCGTCAACCAGTACATCCGGCCCGACATCTTCTCCCTCTCTCCCACCTTCTCGTCGTCCCTCTCGCCCGCCCTCTCCCCCGCGCTCTCGGACGGGCCGCTGCTGCGCCCCACCTCGGCCACCAGCAGCATCTTCGCGGCGTCCCCGGCGCCCTCCTCGCCGACGCCGTCCTCGAGCACGCCGTCGTCGCCGTCCGTGTACCTGCGCCCGCAGGCCGCCACCGCCTCGATCTTCGCGCCGCGCACCGAGGACATGAACAAGGGCTTCCTCATGTTCTCCGAGGACGAGGGGCTCACCAGTACGTACTTTGTTGTTGTTGTTGTTGTTTTACTCTCCGCCGTGCCGCTGGATAATGACTGACCGTGTCCGCTGTTTTTGTTGTTGTTTTCGCAGTGCTCAAGGACGAGCCGGAGGACCTGACGCACCTGGCGCCCACCGCCGGCGACGTGTGCGTGCCGCTGGAGGGGCCGTACCTGGGCGACATGTTCGAGGACTTCATGCTGTCCGACAGCGACAACTACTGCCCCCTGCTGGGCGACGTCGGCGACGACAACAGCAACTCCAAGTTCTTCTTGTACAGAGACAGCGACAGCGACCCCTCGCCCGGCGAGCTGTCGCCGTCCAGGCACTCGCGCCTCTTGCTCTCGCCCACACTGTCACCCACTCTCTCTTCAGCTCTCTCAGAGGTGAGCGCCGACGGCTGTCGGTTTTCACACGCCATCGATAACTGTTTTGAAATTTTCATGTTTGTCTTTCCATGCTGGTGCTTAAGCTGTGCTGTTGTTCCTTCGCAGAGTCCCGGAGAGTGCAGTCTACCTTCCCTGTGCAGTCCAAGCCGGGCAGTGGATCTGGACGACAACATGACCTCTTTCATGTCGCTGTCAGTGGACACTGGCATGACCAGCTTGTCCGACACAGATGATGATCTGAGTTTACGAGCACCTTACATACCCATGGGGGAAGACCTACCTCTCATTATGTCGAATGACCTCATGTGGGGGTCTTCGTTACCTTACAAAAGCAGCTGCAGTAGTAGCAGAAGCAGCACGAGTGGGAGCAGTAGTAGCAGAAGTCCTGATGACAGTGGTGGAGGCGACAACAGCAACAGTGGTGCCAGCAGCCCTTTCGACAGTTCTCATAGCTGCTGGTAAGACTTGCTTTTGTGACGCAGTCAGCTGTCAGAGTATTGTACCTTTCCCTGTGCGTTAATCCAGGTTTTATTACTACAGGTCTCCTCAGCCACAGACATCGAGCAAACCAGATATGAATTCAAGTCTAGCAAGACTTTTACAGTCTAATACATCATCTCATAATAATCAGCGACAGTCAGCATCTGATCTGGTCGATCCGTGTGAGGTGTTGGGTCAGATATATTCTAAAAAACAATGTAAGAACTTGTGTTACTAATTATTATGTGACTGGAAATGTTTTTGTCAGGGTATTTTGACTGACCAGTGTCTCGACCAATTCTCTCTGCAGCCTCAGCATGGAGCGGTGCGCGCGGAGCAGGCCGCCCTGTTGCAGGGGCTTCTTACGCCCACAAGAGGGGAGCGAGTGGCTTGGGGCAGTACATTGGAGCCAAGCGAGGCCGGTTAAATGTGGCTGTGAATCGTTCCAAGAAAGCACGATCAGATGTGCATACTTCAGACTCAGTATTGGTGTTGGATGGTGCGCGGGCTGAGCACAAACCAGTTCCCTTACCTCAACCCAGCGACAGTGTTCTCATGAACCTCTTGGTTAGTGGCTGCGATGTGAGTGCAGGATATATCTGTGTTGGGTTTGGAAAGAATGGCAAGCTCTCGACAAGAGTGCAGTGAAAAGTGTAGACAATTTTGTGGACTCACGTGAGCCAGTGACCTTTCCTCAGATTCGGGACGTTCCATTTTGCACCCTGTCCTGTGTTGTACTAGTCATGATTTGCTCTCAGCAGGTTTTAATTATTTGTACATATGACATGATGTGCCATGTTGCAAAGGCTTGTGATGTATGGTTGGACATGAAGTTATGTATGACTGTGCCTTAGTCACAGTTATTTTTATTTTCCCCTGTAAAATACACTAAGATCTACCTTCTTTTCTTTTTACCTTCTTATTTCTCAATACCAAAAATATCGTGTAATTCTGCTTGCGTGACATAGATCTCTCCAATCCTACAGTATTTGTGGGAGGTCAAGTTAGCTACTATTTGAATTTAGGATGTTGTACCCTGAACACTTTGTGTGTGTGATTAGTGAAACAGAATTTTCCTACTCAGTCCTTCACAACCTTCTCTCAATAATTGAAACATTCCAAGTTCAACTGATTGTCCTACAAATGCCTAAGTAGAAATAAAAAGAACAAACGATTGTCATAATTTTGTTTCTGTTTCTGTTAAGAAACAGCTATTCTTGACAGTCTCATTATTAGAATCGGACTTCACCTGGTTTCTATCTGTAAATACAAATTTTAGAAAATGAAATTAGAATTTGCTTGAAGAAATTACTGTTCAATGTTAGACTCTTTCTCAATTATATCAAAACTTTAATCTTTTCTTAAGTGAGACATTTGACAGCACAAACGCTGTTTCACACAACAAAGAAGTTGGTTTCGTTAAGATCTTGTAGTTCAAGAAATTGATGCTGCTGCTGTTTTGGGATGATAAATATGTGTAGTTAACTGTGTAATAAAGAACGTAGTACTGCCTTGTTTTTACATCGGCACCTTTATCTACCTCATCCAAAGTTATGACGCAACCAGTTAGGCACTTTTATTTCTAGAAGGTTAGCGTACAAATTTCACTATCCAGACCTTCTTTTATCTCAGCTACACCACCATTACCTAGCCCCCAAAAAAAAGAAAAAGAAGAAAATAAAGAGAAAATTGGCATTTCTTGAAATCTTTATCACTCTACAAATAATTTCAGAGCATAGTTTTTTGGGGGGTTTTCTTCTTCACACTTTTTGCAAGAAACAAGAATAATAGAAAAGTCTCGCAAAATATACTTTGGAGACCGTGCAGATGGTTTGGGCATAATTAAAGAAAACTTTCAAAGATACATCCTTCTGAATCAATTTTTCCAATTTTAAGATAAGATTTTGGGGGCTGTGAACGAGTGTGTGCCTGGAATCAACCACACATACACACAAACCCATAAATTCTGGCCTTGAAAGGCGAGGTGTCTTTATATTGAACCGTCATGTGAGTTTAACTCACAGAAATGAGATTTTACAGCACATCGCTTTTTAAGACAATTTAGTGTCAGAGATTTGTGCTTAAAACAGACCGAAAGAATTTAAAAAAATTACCTTTAGCAGCAATCTTACTTACTTGACAAGTTTAATTCAGAAACCATGAGCCATAAGAGTAGACAGAAACTCTTCGAAAATGTAATCAGAAGTTCAGTTGCATAAGAAACTGTCATATGTACAATAAGCCTTCAGCTCATGTGAAGCTTGCCATTCTTACTCCATACACAGAAATCTGCTCTAAACATTAAATATTTATTTATTTGTGCTAATTTTAAACCCCCAAAATTGCCTACTTCTTTTTTAAAATTATTTTTGTCTGTTTTAGGGCCAGGACGGTATGTTTAAGATACCAATTCAGAAGAAAGACGCTGTTGTTGCTCTAGGTAACCTAGTTGCATCTGCATCATCTATTCTCCGTGAGCTTGCTGGTGACAAGATCCCAGATGATGCCCCAATCGTCTTGCAGCCAGCAAAGCCACCAGAATCTGGATCGTCAAGTAATACTTCGTTTAGGCCTGTGCCTATGGGGAGGGAGCTGCTTCGTAAAAATTCATTCTCACTGCTGGATCCCGATGGCATGATACCATCTCTTGCTGATCTCAGCCAACAAGATTATGATGTGAATGCCCCTGTGTCCAGCCAAGGTAGTCTTCTGCAAGGGGAGGAATTGCTGACAGCATTAGAAATGTCTGGTGCTGGCAATATTTTGTCAATGGGATAGTGTGAAGTTCTGAATGAACTTGAAAACTGGTAATGGTGTGTGTTACATGAAATCTTAGATTTGTAGATTAAGTTTATCTTGATGCTCTTACAAAAGCAGCGTCTCCTGGGGTGACCGTATCTGCTTACCAGCCTTACTGAAGGTGTTGGGCAGTTGTTTTGTCTTTTTGCCATAGATATGTTACTAGTTTCCCGAGCAACAGGACACTTCTTATGAGGATTCTTTACTGCCATTTGTGTCATCAATGCCCACAAATATACATAAAAAAATATTTCTTGTATGACCATGAATCACATCTATTTTTTTTAACTCCATTAACTTCATGCATGTAGTCAGTATTTAAGTGATCTTTATTCCCCAAATGATTTTTATCTTGTTAAAGAGAGTTTAAAATTAAACAATGGGCTGTGCACTGTTTGATGAACTATACTGTGGGATTGTGAAGTGTCATTTTTATTCCTTTTTATGTTCATTTTTTAAAATAGAGCGTTCTGAAAGATTAGAGCAAAGTGAAATTTCAATTTCCATCGAGGCTCAAGACATAATGTGTGTTTGCTTTTATCTTTATTCATTTGACGATTTACTCAAATCTGTAAACCAGTAAGCGTTTCTTTATTATAATGGATATTGTGTACTACTATGTTATTATAATACCATTGATTAATGTGACTAAGATACACCTTTTACCTACTGCTGTGTTCATTCATGACTAATTAACATGTTTGCTGAGCTCTCGTGGATGGCCAGCCAAAGTATGTGCAGCTATTGTAAGACTTAAAGTTTGTACTTCTGCCTTCTCTCCTCAACCATCAAAGACAACAGCGAGCAGTTCAAAGACTACCATAAGTGGTACCTGAATCCAATCTAAGCTCTACGATACATTAAAGTGCCATAAAATGTTGTCCAGGAGAAAGCAGCGTCGTGAGCAAATGAGTCTTTTCTGTTCTATTGTTATCTGTCGTAAATTTTCTGCTCAGATTTGATGTTTCACCATGGAGTGGATTGTTTTTGGTGTATAGATTCTTATTTCTTTGCAAGACATGCTTCTTTCCGATTCATAGCACTCTTCTCGTATTTCATGTAGATGTGATTTTTGTCTTTAAGATACCAGCATGAACTATGTTGTTTTGACTGTACGTTTGAGGAAAGTCTAGAAGAGAAAAATAAGAGAGTATGTCAGTTTTTTATTTAGGTGGACTGCCAATTTATTGTAAATACGTTAATTCCTCGAAGTTATATAATTTGAAGACCTTTCCCTCCCTCTGTATTTACAAACTAAGATCTTTTGCTCATTATGTTATTGGTTTTCATTTCAATTTGCCAAGATGAAAGCAAAGCTGCAAAAGATGTTTGTGGTGTTGACCAGTTGTAGTGAATGTAGTCTTTTGCTTTAGAGTAAGAGAATGTGTAATATGTGTTAGAGCTAGCGGTATGTCAATATGTCAGTTGCTTGTTGTAGTACAATATCACAATTATTTGAGCACTATTCCTAAGGGTTTATCAATTTTATTATAAGGAAGCTCCCATTGCATTTCATGATCATATTTCAATGAACCTCTGTCTTTTTCCACTAAGTAAAAAAATGTTTTGCACTGATTCTCTCAGTTTTTGTAATTGGCATGAAAACAGGTGCACAGAATATGTATTGTTGGTTGGACACTGTTAATACTTATCAAGTCATTTATTCTGACCACAACAGTTCTGACTACAAATTCACTTGTCCTTTTCCACATTTAAACATTCCTTATCTTATTTTTTTTAAAGATACGTAATTTGTTTCATGGATCATTTGCCTCCGTCTTTGATTTTTATTTCTTTTAATATTTCACTATGTGTGTGGATTTGTTTTGAATGCCACATTACAATTAATGATGGGAGCAGAAATGTTAAGTGCGGTGTGGGAACGTGACTTTAGATCTGTGACTAGCAAACAGAGTCCTGTTTCTAGTTAGAAACCATGAAATCTCCATTAATTTCTCCTTGAGATGAGGAACTTTATAACGGAGTTTTGTTTTGGCTTGCTTTATTGGCATGTTCCAACTCCGACAGATCTGACCTATCACAGGAAAAGATGAGTCTTGAGGGAAAATCTTTTCCTTTTTTTATTTACATATATATTTTTTGTGTTATTTGAAGCTTTTTCTTGAAAATCATGTTTTTATTTGGTTTTGTTAGACTTCTGAAGCTAGAATGTTTTATTTACTCTTGCCTTGTTCAGTTTTCAATTCTGGGTCGTGATGGACTTTCATTTCAGAAATCATTTTTGCTTTCTTTCCACTTTAATATAACGGAGTTCTTTGACTCTGTTGGTATTGCATGAAAGTAATGTTAGTCTTAGAGGTTTGATTCTTTGTTTTATCAAAGACCAAACACAATTATTGTTCAGAGCCTCTCCAAATAAAGAGTGAAAACCATAAGGCCTTCTACTTATTCCCCTGCCAATCACTTTCACGGCAGAAATAATCTTGACTGAAAAGGGACTTTTCAGATCATCCATAATTTGTCATTGTCAAAACAACGAAGAAAAGAAAAATTTCAACGGCTGTTAGGTAACAACTCAAAATAAATGAAAACAAGCGTAGCAAAGTTGTAAAAATAAAACAAACAAACTTTGTTATATTATCAACATGAGCAAATGTAATATCCACCTTAATTGTCTCCACACAGTCTGATGTTGTGAATCCTGTAATTTTGACAATAAACAAATTTTACAAAAAAAAGGGGGGGAAGGTGGCTTAGAGCGTAAAGGAAGCATTACAGTTCTATCATGTCCTGTTTTGCACGTCTTCTCTGTGGCGTGCCAAAGGGGTGGTCTACCTTCCCGGCGCTGTGCAACAGTAGGGACAAAGAATTTTGAAGGAAAAAGTGGCCATGAGAAAAGACACCATGGGAATCGAAACCAGGACTGTTTTTTTTCCTGACCGACGCCTTCACCTTATCAGCCATTCTATGCGTGATGCTAAGTTGCCCGATCAATCTCAGAGCGATGGTCGCCATAATTGGTTTTGGGCTCGGGCGCGCTTCCGCTAGCCGCTGCGTTGCGCCGTTCTCTCGCGGGGCAGCGTCGCTCGCCGTCTTGACTAGTCTATCAGCATGTCCCATATCTAAGTGGTGGTCATCTTCGACCAGCCTTTTCCTAACTGGGCAGTTTTTCTGCCAAGGAGCTCGGCAGTAGTACTCAACAGTAAGGCAAGCGCCTGCACTGAAAAACCAAACGTGGTCCAGACCGCACCACTGGTGTGGTCAGATGGATGCCATTTTAACCACATCAGTTGGTGTGGTCTAGACCACATTTGACCACACCAAACGCATCAAACGTGGTCATGTCCACACCAACTGGTGTGGTCAAAATGGCATCCATTTGACCACACCAGTTGGTGCGGTCTAGACCACGTTTGGTTTTTCAGTGTGGGTAGGTGCTTGCTTCTTCATTCGGTCAGCCACTGCAAGTAAGCGCTGCATGTATCTCGCCGCCATTCGCTCGCGGGGGTGGTGTCATGTGGCATTCCGTAGTACTTGATCAACAGCGCCTGGACGGTAGGCCACCCCTTCTACGCCTCACAGGGAGGACGTGCATACACGCCCGGCCAACAGGAAATAGCGATGGACTTGACGAGGGGAACTCTTTTGCCTCTTCACAGGGGAAAATCGTGAGTTTCCTCTTCATATGGCCACCATGTATCTAATTTCCTAGAACCGCACGGTGACATGTCAAATGGGTGACCTACCTTCATTGCACCTTGAACTTCTCTCGGACAATGGCGCCGGGAAGGTAGGCCACCCCTTTGACACGTGACACGAGAAGTGAACTGAAGAAAAGAGGAACCCGCCTGGGATGCGAACCGTGGCAGCCTTCACCTCAACCAGCCTATCCACCGAGACTTGGTAACATAGCGTCCCATCTTACAGTGATGGTACCGGATTTGAGAGGCGATCAGAAGAAAACATCAAACCGCATGGGATGCGAACCTGATGCGAACCTTAGAACGTTTTCGTGGCAGCCATCGCCTGAACCAACCGCACCCCGCAAGGGCGGATCCAGGGACGGGTTCGGGGCGGAATATAGCGTAAGTTGCCTACCTACAGGGGTAATGTGCGACTGTTTGCCTACCTTTCAGGCGCCGTATTCAGCCCCCCCCCGGTCGGTCGTTCCTACCAAAATCGTGTGTCGCACGTTTATTTTAATATCTTGTAATAACGTTTGTTTGAACGTGCGTCTTCCACAAGGTTCTAGCCGAGTCACATTAAAATAAATGTCACATTTTACTTGGACGAACGTGACCGTGACAAAGCCCGGGTTTGACACAGGGGCCACCCCAGGAGGGGCCAGCCACTCCTGGATCCGCGCCTCAATTCAGTGGAAATGAACTTCGGACAAAACATACGAGTTTGGTACCCACAGTTCACTCTGGTTCCTACTCTGTTATCGTGACCCGCACAATCTAAGGGCGTGCGCGTCCGCTTTCACTATAAATTTGGCGACTGGTCCGTGTGGCCCCAGTCGAGGCCAGTATCCCACAGCAGCAGCCAAGCAATCGCTGTGATTTCACTAACACCTTGTGGTGAGTCATCGGTTCGAAAAACCGACCTCAGCACACTTAAAACGTTACGGATACCGTGCTTGTGGGTTACCGATAGTTTTGTGCTGCCATATTACGGATCGAATTCCGTTTGTAATACGGATGTTTTCGTCCGCAATACAAAGTTTTTGGTGTCCGTTATGTACAGATAGTTTCGTTACACCAAAACCCTTGAATTACGGACCCGTAATATGGCTGCACAAAACTATTCGTAACACGGTGTCCGTATGGACTTTAGTGTGTGCTGAAGGCTAGCCTCACTGAAAGTTTATCCAGTTGTCGGATTTTCGTGAGAGACGTGCCGGATCCGACTGCATCGGGTCATCCACTGGCTGAATTACGTCTGAATTTCTTCCCGTTTACAGGGAAAGATGGTGGCCGGATGGTGACTCGGCTTACTGGACGCTGCCTCCGTACCAGACCTGCCATGAGCTGGCCTGGCCTATGCACAATGAGACTGGCGATGCTGGCGCTGGCAGCAATCGCGATCACAGGGCTCACAGCTAGCTGCAGCCCTGCTTCACAGCACAGTGGACTTTCTGCAAGTCTGGTGACCGTGCCGGAAACGTTAAGAAACCCCGCCACCCTTATCTCAGGTGACAGGTGAGTAATTATAATACAGTTGGATTCCGATTTGGTTCAAAATTTGCATTAGCAGTCTTACAATGAAGAGTGACCGCTTTAAAAGATTACGTGCATTGTTAAAAAAGTTTTGAGTTTTCAAAACAATTTTGATGACAGTTTTCCGAACACGGATATGAATTTTACAAACATCGCACATTTCATAACTTTATGCAAAAATTCAAACCAAGTCGTAAAATTGACAATTGTTTTGGTAATTACAAATCGTGTTCTGAAAATTACGAAACGGAAATGTTGATTTTGAGGACGCGAGCGTAATTTTCGGCATTCGATCGTAAATTTCATAACTGACTGAGAGTCATCAGGTAGCTGGACCCTCCATCTCCCGTGGAACGTGTTAGCACTGTGGTACAGAGCGTGCACCACTCGTCAAAGATCCCGGGTTCGAACCCCGCGGGGACTCTACATCAGATTGTTTTCACATTTTTCAAGTCACTTTTTCATGATAATTGTATTTCGAGACATGGAAAAACAGTCAATGAAAGTTTATAATAAGGCGATATTTGGCGATACCACATTAACTTTGTTCAAACGATGGAAAGTCACATATTGCCTATTGAGAGAAAAAGTCGAAGTCCTGCATCCCTCACTTGGGTGGAGCGATGGGTCTAAAATCGAAAATTCTTCCACAGAAACGGGACCTTTAGGGTACTGAAAGACTGGTGCCAAAACGACGGTCCCTATCGATAGGCTCGTAAGTCTGAGCGGCGAGAACGTAAGCGCGCAAGTCCGTCCGCCCGGGACATACCGTCGTATCTCGCCCGGGTCGCTACGTAGGGTAAACTATACAGTAGGGTGGGCCGTGAAACACGATTTTTCGATATCGCAAACGTAATAGCGCGCCAAAGTTACTTCATGGCAATACAAACTCAACGCGATCTGGGGCAGGTCTGTAACTTAAAGCTTGACCCTCGCGCATCGACGTTGAAAATTCGAAAATTCGACTTTTACGGGTTTTTCTAAAAACATCCATAGGAACTGAACCAGATGTCCAAATGATGTTTGCGAGACGGAAATGGAAACGTCTGATCATGCTTTATCAGTTTAAGACCACCGGGACCCTCTCCGAGCAGTAGGGGACCGATGGGAGAAAATTACAAAATTACATTTTTTTTTCCGTTTTTTACAAAATGCAAAAATTGCCTTCAGGGTTTGATACGGCCATCCTGACGTCACCGTACCCGAACCATACCCCGAATCATCTTCTCTAAGGGCCCCTTTCCCGTTTTAAGCGCACGGGGTACTCCGGGATCCGTTCACACGTTAGGATTTGGACGCCAAAAACACATGTTTTACTAAAAATTCAAATTATCGGTACTCAGGGCACTGTAGGGCACTCGTCCCGTCCGTATGAACTGCAGTGACTCAGAATCGATTACTAGATGGTGTCTTTGCGTCGCAGGAACATATAGACAATCGGACGAAAAGACCTTTAGAACGCTATTTACACTGTAAATCTCGTTAATCTAGAGTAAAAACGTATTTGGCTCGTCTGGAACGACAGAAGGTCGCTGCACGATTATACAGGTTATTCTTATCCATCGCATAGGTTGTAGGTGCCTGTGACGCAAAGACACCATCTAGTAATCGATTTTGAGTCACTACAGTTCATACGGACGAGACGAGTGCCCTAAGTACCGATAATTTGAATTTTTAGTAAAACATGTGTTTTTGGCGTCCAAATCCTAACGTGTGAACGGATCCCGGAGTACCCCGTGCGCTTAAGGGGGGAGACTCGTCTTTAACACCAAAATTTTAACAAATTTCAGGCTTAAATAAAAAATCTTTCCAATAAATTTGAAGGTTAGCGGGGTTTTCCATTAAAAAGGGGGTTCTTTAATGTTGATTTCAAAAAAAAAAGTTTGACTCTAGGCCCTATGACCTAGAATCTGTGATCTTTCTACTAAACCACTAAAATACGCCAAAAATTCACTGCGCGCATGATTTTCAGAGAATGCGGCATCATATCATAAATGTCTTTGTTCCTCTCTCAAGAAGACTCCTGGCACTCTAGATTGAACTAGAATGATTGAAATACCTGGTTCCTAAGTGCCTCAAATTTACATTTTTAAGTGTACAAAGAAAAGCCTTTAAATTTTGACATTTCAATAATTTTTTTCGGACACTTCTACTGGTCCGATTGAAGATATCCTAGTTCAGAGTGACGGCCTTATAGAGACAAAACATAGGAAAAATTATTGAGTCGAAACAATCAACGGTCTGGCTCAAATCGTGCGCGCAAGACCCAAAATATTGCAATTGAGTAAAATGGCTTCAAAGTTCGAACGGTCTAACCTATCCTGTGGAAAAAACAATTACAAAAAGTCATCCTATGGCCAAACGGTTTTGAATTTCGAAACCAGCCAGCCACCAATTTCAAGGGTTTGACACAAAGAATTCGAAAAACTCAAAAACGAAAATCTGATTTTTTGACGTAGAATGACGAGTCTCCCCCCTTAAAACGGGAAAGGGGCCCTTAGAGAAGATGATTCGGGGTATGATTCGGGTACGGTGACGTCAGGATGGCCGTATCAAACCCTGAAGGCAATTTTTGCATTTTGTAAAAAACGGAAAAAATTGTAATTTTGTAATTTTCTCCCATCGGTCCCCTACTGCTCGGAGAGGGTCCCGGTGGTCTTAAACTGATAAAGCATGATCAGACGTTTCCATTTCCGTCTCGCAAACATCATTTGGACATCTGGTTCAGTTCCTATGGATGTTTTTAGAAAAACCCGTAAAAGTCGAATTTTCGAATTTTCAACGTCGATGCGCGAGGGTCAAGCTTTAAGTTACAGACCTGCCCCAGATCGCGTTGAGTTTGTAATGCCATGAAGTAACTTTGGCGCGCTATTACGTTTGCGATATCGAAAAATCGTGTTTCACGGCCCACCCTACTATACAGTTACCGTCAGTTTAAGAGCATCGCTTTCTTTTCAAGGGCCTCTAGGGTAGGTTATGACATTTAGAACCGTGCGACTTGTTCCAGACACCTCAGAAGGATCTAGACAACGAAGTGCCTGACAAAGATTTCACCAAAAACTTTTTGTGACGCTCTTATTTAACCTGAGAAAAAGGTTACCAAAAACGCAGTTATCGGCAGCCAAAATACAGTTATCGGCACCCCTTATGACAGTTATCGGCACCCCTTGTTAAAAAGGCAAAACATGACCGAAAGTGACGAAAATTTCTAACAGTCGTCACAGACACTCTATATCACCTCTCGACATGTCACGAACCCCCTCTCTCTTCTATTATGCCTCTTGCGCCCTTCATTTTAGACTCACGGACACCTAGCACCATGAGCTGCAAAAAAAACCTTTCAAAGCGCCGAGGAGGAATTTCGTAAATCATGTAGGTCACTGGGAAAAAGTGATCCGATTTCATTCAAATTTGGCAGTAGTGTTCCTCCTATGGTCATAGTGCATCTGAATATTAACTCCCGGACGACGCCCGAAACACCAGTGAAGTTTGAGGCCACCCTGACGATAACTGTGTTTGGGGTGATTTCTTGGGCACAGTTATCGGCACCCCCCGATTGAGGACAAGCAAGAGGAATTTCTGAGCACCAAACACAGAATGCCCTCTTCAATAGATGGGGAGAAGGAACCTGGCAAAGAGAATAGTTTTTTCCGGCCCGCATTCACGAATTTAACGAAAGATTGAACCGCTCTGTTCCTAGCATGGAAGGTAAGATCAGGCGGCCGAAGCGGCCTCATTCTGCACTTGACAAGGAACATGGCTCTGTTGGCTGACATGCTCAATCAAACGCGATGCTGTCTCGGTCCTGCATGCTCAAAAATCGTCAAAAATCGTCTCTAGCGACCTGCATTGGCCACATCACTAACGGACGCGTACTTGCAGAGTAGGACCCAATTATCCGCCGAGATGACGATAACTGTACCCCTGCCGATAACTGTATAGTTTACCCTAGCGTGCTATGGTTGCATCATTCCGTTTCTAGATAGCACGCTACGTCGCGACCCGGGCGAGTTACGACGGTATGTCCCGGGCGGACGGACTTGCGCACTTACGTTCTCGCCACTCGGACTTACGAGCCTATCGATAGGGACCGTCGAAAACAGTTTTAACCGGGGCCGCCCCCTTCATGCCCATCAGGGGCCTCAAAAATGGGTCTACACGTCAAAAATGACACTTTTACGAGCATAACATTGGAACCAGGGAAAAATTTGGCATGCCCTATCTCGCTTTTGGTGCGGAATATATGTCCGAATGCTGTGAATTTTTGAGAGAGCTGTCGGAGAAGGTCTTTGGCCCGGGTGAAGGCCATTTTTGTCAAAAGAAAACAGGGTGAAAATCGTCGTTTTCCCTGTATTTTGATGTTATACGCCATCTGTGTAGACTGTTTTGCCGTTTAAGATGTCCCACTCGATCCATCTCTAAAGACCCCTTCTGAAATATCAGTTTGCATCCAATCAACCCCGGAAGTAACCTGCGTGGAATCGGAAATAACCCAGATCGCGCCGGAAGTGGACACGTTTCGGTCAGAATAGGTAAGCACCGTTTTCGACATTTTGGCTTCATGCGCACTTCCGGCGCGATCTGGGCCATTTCCAGTTCCACTCTGGTTACTTCCGGAGTAGATTGGATGCAAATGATATTTCAGAATGGGTCTTTGGAGATGGATCGAGTCTTCGGCAAAACCATCTGCAGAGATGGCGAAAAACATCAAAATACTGGAAAAACGACGATTTTCACGCCGTTTTTGGACAAAAACGCACACTTAATGTTTGTGTACAAATTTGTACGTGGTGATGCATAATTTTAAACTTGTGTGCCGTCTTGCATAAAATTGTGCGTGCATTTGCATGAATTTATGCATTTTCACGCATAATATTTTGCAAATTCCCCGCATGCACAAAATCGTGCAAGTGGCACGTACAAAATTCTACATAAACATTTAGTGTGCGGCCTCCACCCGGGCCAAAGACCTTGTCCGACAGCTCTCCCAAAAATTCACAGCATTCCGGAATACATTCCGCACCAATAGCGAGAAAGGGCATGCCAAATTTTTCCCTGGTTCCAATTTTATGCTCCTAAAAGTGTCACTTTTGACATTTGGACCCATTTTTGAGGCCTCTGATGGGCAAGAAAGGGGCGGCCCCGGCCAAAACTGTTTTGGCACTAGTCTTAGTGTCCTAAAGCTCCCATTTCTGGGAAAGAATTTTCAATGAGGCCTGAGCGGCAAAGCTCCTGCCGCTAGATGGCGCCACCCAGCAAGTCCACTATGAGAAATTGGCCGTACAGCGTACCGGGTGATGGCTGAGGCGTGAACGTTTAGAATGGGGATGGCGCATATAATTGGCTGAGCGATAGCGAAGCCCTTGCCGTGTTTGGGCGCGCTGAAAAGTGACTGGTCGTGAGTCTGTCTGTCTGTCTGTGACTTTGTACTCACCAACGATTCTCAGCAACTACAGTAGCTATAGTTTCAAGATTTCGTATTTAACGTCACCTTAGTACCCCCCAACACGAGTTTGTTTCAAATCGTTGTTTAGTATCGTTTGAAATATTCAAAACATACTTTTGAATCAGGTTATTAGCATGGTTAGGTTGGCAGCACTCAGCACTCACGAATTTCTCATACCTGCGGCCGCGGCTCTCAAATACGGGACAGAAGCAAATAAGCAAATAAAACAAAATAACGAGCAGAAGGGTTTGGAAATGAGATCGGCCATAGTTTTTCCACATTCTAGAATGATTAAAACCCTTTTAGGGTATCAACACAGCGAAATATGGAGAATGGCCGTGAAAATGATTTACGTGTTTCGTTCCCCTCTCCCCCCTCCCCCTTTCGAGGGGAATCTTCTTCAGGTCAGTGCACTTTGACAGCAGTGTAAAAAGAATGTTTTTATTTTGACCTTTTGTATTGTGGGCATCTACTTGTTTCATTTTCTATAGTGTCATCCTCTTTTTTTTAAATTCTCATAGTAGAGGAAATCAGGGAAATGCAAATAACTTGTGTTGAAATTAGCAGGCATACTTAGTTTGGACTCGAGAAATACATTCTATTGCAATGCTGCAAGCTGACAAGAGTGCAAAAGTACTAACATGTGTTTATTAATAGAATCAATGTATGGTTGTGTATATTTAATCCTAATAGAGTTTGAATTGATATTGGGTTCAAAGAGACGACTCAGGTTTTGAGCGGTGAGTGAATTAGTGAATGGATTTAATGAGACGATTCCTTTCACTTCACTGAAGTTAATATAACTGGTACTACTCAGTATTGCATACCTGAGTAAGATAAATTGTGTCGGTTCATTAAGCCTTGGGTAGCCTTGGCATTGGACTCTATATGACGAATCACTGGATTTGACAATAATTGGTCCCCGTTAACTGGTTCAGATCAGCCTACCCTAAACTGACTCTCTTAATATTAACTGTGATAACGAATGCCAATCAATATTGTTTTATTCACTGGTTCACAATGAAAGAATGACAAAATGTTTCATAGATATTACTTATAAAATTGAGAATTCATTAGTTAAGAAAAAAGAGATATCGAATAGTGACCCAATCATACGAGTAATCAATTAAGCGATTCAATGCTGGCAATTGAATGTTACTCGACTGAGGGATTCACATTGGTGTGGCATCAGGGAATTGGTGATGACAGAGGGTGCTTCATGAAGACAGTGTAGGAATGTACAGAAATTGAGTCTAGATAGTTGTTTGTAGATTTCAGTGTACTAGTCACAAAAGCTACATTTATTTCAATGCCAAACCTACACTTTCACCTAGAGCTACGCAATTTGGGGCAAAACTTTCTAATTCGAGAGTCATGCGTTTCCCTGCAGTTTTCAGTGCGCTGACTTCAATATTGACTTCTAAATTGTCCCCAGACCCAAAATTTAACCGGTTTTGGGTCAAATTTTTTAAATTGAATTGCACATTGATTCTTGCAGTTTTTTGAGTGCTGATAGCAAAAATCACTTCCATTTAGACATCAGACTTATATTTTCATCCGAAACGAGGTCATTTTGGACCAAAATTTTCAAGTCGAGTCTTATATTATTTCCTGCAGTTTTTGGTGTGCTGAACTCAAAAATGACTTCCAAAATTTTCCCAGACTCACACTTACCCGAATTTTGACCAATTTTGGACCAAAATTTTTAAATTGAGTTTGACATTGATCCCAGCAGTTTTTGGTGTGCTGATAACGAAAATCACTCTCATTTCGACTCCAGACTTATATTTTCATCCCAAATTAGGTCATTTTGGACCAAAATTTTCAAGTCGAGTTTTAGATTGTTTCCTGCAGTTTTTGATGTGCTGAACTCAAAAATGACCTTCAAACTTTTCCCAGACTCACATTTAACCGAATTTTAACCCATTTTGGACCAAAATTTTTAAATCGAGTTTGGCATTGATCCCAGCAGTTTTTGGTGTTCTGATAACGAAAATCACTTCCATTTGTACCCCTGGTCTAAAGTTCACTCAATATGAGTCCTGAAGATGCACATTTCGTCTTCTCAAGCAAAGTCCAAAGTGCACAAACCATGTCAATTCGCATCGCTCAGCCACACTACGCGCCCAGACTAAACGGCGCGTACCCCTAGTTTAATATGGGCGAAGAAGAAGAATGGGGAAGGTTAACTTTGGAACAGCTGAAAGTTGAGTTCACAACGTAAACAAACTCGCCGAAAACTAGTACTCCACGCGAGCTATTTGTCATAGCAACCTAGCTCAGTGGCGCCACCTAGCGGATTAGTTCCCACTTTCAGACCTCATTTTAGACCCATCGCTCCACCCTAACGCTCACCTCACTTTCTGGTGCGTCCGAAGCGAGGGAAGCCCAAGAAGTTTAGATCCATGCGTAATAGGTGCATGAAATAATGCTCGTATGTTTGTATCAATATTCTGTCCGTTCGTAGGGTCTGTGAAAGTCGCTTTCCCAAAAAATGAAAGGAAATACGTAGCTTGCATTCGAGGTTTCCTCGAGTATGTATCTTGATTTCCTAAGGTACCTGTTCAGTATTTACATCGACGTGACACCTAATGTACGAACATTGGTGATGAACCATGTTAAAGGACGAGTCTCACTAGTAAAACAAAGGCATAAAAATTACGCCCTTTAGGGCATAGATGCTCTTTTACGCCCTTCCCAAGGGCATAAATCGTTTTATGCCCTTGGGAAGGGCGTGAATGGTATAGGAATTTCATGCAAAATTTTAATGCCCTTCCCAAAGGCATTAACGATTTATGCCCTTTAAGGGTGTAAATCGCTCTACAAATCAAAGAGTGTACATGGTACGCTCTAACTGGAGCATGCCTGCAAGCACGCTCTAACTAGCGCATGCCTGCCAAGCATGCACTTACTAGTGCATACATGCCATGTACACGCTAACTGAAGCATACATTTACTGCATAAGGGATAGGGAGTTTTCTGCATCAGGAAGCGTGTACATGGCATGTATGCACTAGTTAGTGCACTAGTTAGTGCACTTACTAGTGCATACATGCCATGTACACGCTAACTGAAGCATACATTTACTGCATAAGGGATAGGGAGTTTTCTGCATCAGGAAGCGTGTACATGGCATGTATGCACTAGTTAGTGCATGCTTGGCAGGCATGCGCTAGCTAGAGCGTGCTTGCAGGCATGCTCCAGTTAGAGCATACTATGTACACTCTTTGATTTGTAGAGCGTTTACGCCCTTAAAGGGCATAATTTTTATGCCTTTGTTTCACCAGTGCTCCCTTCTTCAATATCAATTGCAATTGAGAATACTATATATTTGGTCTTTGCATCTTCTTTTCTCTGTGAGCGACGGGCTGCCTGAGAGGAACGTGGTGCTGAGTGGTTTCTGGTGTTGCAGGCAAACATCTGCCCGTGATGTGGCGAGGACGCAAGATAACGTAACGCTGCTCCATCAAGAAGGAATGCCACCTGGTGAAGACTTGAAGAAATCAATCTTTTCTCTCATGGAAAAAGGCGATAAGAGGAATGGACTTGCAGCACATCGCGACATTGTAATACTATTGGGGAACACTGGAAGCGGTAAGAGTACTCTGACACAGTTCCTTGCTGGAAACAACACAAAATTAATATCCGAGGAAATTGAGAAAGGACTCGGACTCGAGGAGTTTATCATCGTTGACAGTGATGACCGTATAGGTTCCAGCTCAACTGCTGTATCAAAAACTATTTTCCCTGAGCCAACAGTAGATGAAAACACAAAAACAACCTACTACGATTGCCCTGGATTCAGTGATACCAGAGGAGTCGCTCAGGATATATCCCAGGCCTATTTTATGAAAAGATTGATTGATTCTGCTGATAGAGTTAAGTTAGTTTTCGTTGTGAATCACTCATCAGTGAAGAAGGCCGTTGACAGGCAGGACTTCGTCAGATTAATTAAACACAGTTCGACCCTCATAAGGGATACTGAGAAGTTCAATGCAATTGGGAATTTTATTCAGGAAGTGAAAGGCAATCTAGAAGAAGGACAGTTAGAAAGCTATTTTAAAAACAGCACACTAAAAAGAAACGCTATCAAATTTTTAGAAGGTATTTTATTTAAAAAGAACAAAGTGTATGAAAGGATCGGCATTTTCAAAAGGCCGGATGTGCCCGGAGTAGTAAGTAATATATCTTTATTACAAAATTGCAAAAAAGAGTTAGAGTTCATAATTCACCAAAACCTTGTTTTCCGGAAGAAAAATGATGAAGATTTTGGGTACACGATTTCTGCTGAGTCTGAAAATCATGCCGAGGAATTGATTAAGTATGCCCTATCATTTATAGAAGACTGTGTTCGAAAAATTGGCAAGGAAGTTACAGACTTTTACCGAGCCACCGAAACAAAACTATCAATGGATATTGTTATGTTAAAAGAAAGATTCCAGTCTCTGCTGGACCTATTATCTGCGGTAGATTGGCAGAAAAGCAGATCGACTGCTGAAAATCTAAGTGCCCGCGAGTTTGTGCAGCATATCTCAAATATTACAAAATATATGGGACTTAAAATTTCAAGTGAAACTATGTCACCCATATTAAATTACGGCAGGTATCTTAGCTTCCTACAGAAAGTAAGTGGGAAACGAACTTTTGACCCTCTGCCGTGGGCTCAAGGACTTCAAGGCCTTATTCAGAACTCTCAGGACTCGAAACAATGGTATGACTTTTTGACAAGGCTTTATGATATGCTATCAGGGTACAGTGTGCAAGAGAATCGAAGCACATTTAATATACCAGAAGTAGACATGATTCAGAATATAAACGATACTCGACTGACAAACCTTTTCCAACACGTGGGTATAGACATCCCATTCAAGCTGATGGATTCATCTCGACAAAAAACATTACGTGAGGTTATAAGAGCGACAGTCAATCACAAGGTAACTCTATCACGCGAAGGGAATAGCAAATCCAAATTAGTTTTGAGGGGACGATACGTAAAGCTCAGTGAGATAAGTCAGCAAAATGTCAATTGCAAGGAACTGAACGAAATAATCGTATTCGCTTATGAAAAAGTGTTTATTGACACTGATTTGGACTGCCCTGGCGTTGCATCTCTAACAGTCGTTTCACCATCATGGTATATTACGAATACAACTAAAATTGTCGTAGACGGCAAACAGGGTGCAGCCCTCACAAAGCCTACAGCTGATGCGGGTGTTGCACCAGGCAGCAACGGCAAAAATGGAAAAGATGGAGAGCCAGGGGAACCTGGGGGATTGTTCTTTGGGATCGGAGAAAAGTTTGTCAACTTGCACCTGCTCACTGTGTCTGCTAATGGGGGTAAAGGTGGTCATGGACAAAGAGGTGGCGATGGAAAAAATGGAGTCGACGGCAAGAGTCCCCCAGATACGTTTCGATGCAAAGGCGATCTGCTAGACGTAGACATTGATCTCACAGTTATGGGTGAGTCACATGGCCGTGGTCAGGTGAACCCTAAGTCACATAACCGTGGTGACTTGTTCCCTGGTCACTATTACCAGGTGGCTGGTCCGATGGGCACCAAAGGCGGCAGTGGTGGGGATGGTGGACGAGGCGGAAAGGGGGGAAAACCAGGCAATGTTACGGTCTTGGGGTTAATGCAAAACCCAAACGTCAAAGTCCAAGTAGACGTGGGGGCAGACGGCATTCCTGGTGCAGGTGGTGCTGCGGGCCTAGGAGGCAGCAATAGTAATGTTGTGGCGGAAGTACATTGCCACACTGTGTTTGTGTGCGGCTGCGTCGAATCGTATCGTGGAGAATGGGGCACGATATCGCGTCGTGCACGCTCAGGTACAACGGGCAAAGCTGGAGGAAATGTCCTGGAAGGAAAAAACTCTAAAATATTACCCTTTGATCATTACGATAAAGTGCTTAGGTATGAAAGGTACTACCGGGAATATGTTGCAGAAAACAAGGTATCGCAACTCAGCAGCATGAAGATCTTGGAACTACTCGATGAAAATTCTCAGATTAAGGTGTGGCATACGACACTGGGATTGTTTCATGAGTTTCAAGACTTAGAGGAGCAGTATTACAAACTTGTTGGGAAGATTCCTCTGAAACCAGCATACCAGTTGTTACTGGAGAAAATCAGTGGTTATGCTAAAAATCTGAAAGACATTGAAACTAGAGGTGATGATAAAAGTGTACTACGCTACTTGTTCACAGCTTGTTTGAGTAAAATTTGTAGTATGCGTGATGTATCCGAGGGCAATCTCATTATAGACTTGGAGAAGTTCGTTGCCTCTGCCGTAGAGAACGTCGAAAAAATGGCAAAAGCTTTCAACCACAATGAGATAACCGCATCTAGCAAAAGATTTAGTGAAGATATCCAATCTAAAACAGACGAAGCGGGTATCTTTATGTCTGAAATAACCTCTGACGTGGATAACTTCCTTTATGACATAGATAATAATATTCAAAGATTAATTAATGAAACTGTTGACCTGCAGAATGCTGCAAAGAAGGAAAGAGATCGGCTAATAGAACAAGAGAAGGAATTAAATACGCAGCTTGGATTCCGAAAATTGCTCGGTGTTGTCAATGTTGCAAGCCAGCTTTTAAGCTTTTTGGGGCCGGCCGGTGCTGCAGCAGCCACAGCTGTTGGAGGAGCAGCGATGACTACGGAGGCACTTCTCCTCGATGACAGGAGTAGTACTGGCCAAGATAAATTGCTAGAATTACCCAAAGGTGTTACGCTCTCTGCGTCAAAAATAACTGATGAGATTAAAAACAAGAACCGCGTACTGTCAATGCAATTGCGAGATGTAGCCCTAGAACTTAAGAAGTTTGAGAAAGATGAACCTCACGCTAACTTGACTGAAATATTGCATAAGGTTGATGCAGCACAAAGTAAACTAAAGAAAGAAAACGATAAGATATCAGCTTTAGACTTAAAAGCCATAAAAATGTATGAAACTCAGCAACAAGAGATCAGCACTTTGATAAATGAGAAGAAAATAGAAATCAAAAGAGAAAAAAATCCAGATGCGGTTAATGTTTTGCAAGCAAAATTGGATTCACTATTCGAAGAGAAGAGGGCCGCCAGCCCAAATGATCTGCCTCGTGTGAACAACGCAATTTTAGAGTTGGAGAAGAAGATTAAGCAAGAGATTGAGACTAACCATGACCTGGACATTGAGTCGTTTCACAGAAAGAGAACACTGAGAATGAAAGAGTCATGATCATGACTAAAATTTTGGGTGAGGAGTTCTTTATTACCCAAATTTGGGTGAGGAAATTTTCCTCGCCCAAATTTGAGTGAGGAAAGTTTCCTCACCCAAAGTTGGGTCATAATACTATGGAGCTAGATAGGGAGCTGATACACCCTTCCTCACCCAAAATTGGGCGAGGAACCATTTCTCGCCCAAATTGGGCGAGGAAACGTTCCTCGCCCAAATTTGGGTGAGAAAGTAAACCTCGCCCAAAATTGGGTATTGATCATGACTTTTTCATTCTCAGTGAACCATGCAAAGAGAAAAAGACGAACTAACTAAAGTACAGCAACAGAAGCTCGTTGGTAAGAATTACGAGGAGTACACTGCATCAGAAAAGAAGCGACAAAACCTTCACCGTGAGCTGGAGACGTTAACAGAACAGAGCAAAACTGCGGTGCCGAAAACTTTGACGGATACGACTCGCGAATTACACTATATAAACAAAAGGTTGCTGCATTTGAAAGAGAATACTGATGCTAAATCAGTTTCGGAAAAACAAGAACTGGAAAAAAGACAAAAACTCTTTTTGGAACGGAAGAAGTATTTATACGAGGACAGAAAAGAAAAAGTGACGCAAAGGGTAGAGGAAGGCACACGGCGAATGGAGCATGTTCTAAATATTATAAGGATAAGTGATATCACTGTTAGTACATATAGTAGAATTAGGAATTCGGAAGCAAAGATAAAGCAAGTTGCCGCTGCAATCGAAGGGGCCAAAATCAAATTGCAGTCGTTACTAGAGCACGAACAGAAAATCTATGACATTATGCTACCATTGGCGGACACCATGAAACAATCAATTAATGAAATGGGGACTACGTTGGCAGTTTCATCAAGAGTTGCTCTTGACGTACGGAAGTGGAAAATGCAACTTGCCCTGCGCAACATCAGGGAAGAAATGCAAAAGCTTTTTAAGGGTTTTACCGTTGAGGAACGTTTCAAAAGTGCCTTCCAGAATTTGGAGGAAGGTATAGGTGTTTTAATACAAGTATACAAAGACGTCGAGACTTATCAAGAGCAGAACCTTTTAGCTTTGTACCTTGCAGATATAAGTAAGGAAAGTTCTATCGAAGTACAGGTAAAAGATAAAAAACTGAAAGAAGCCATGGAAAAGCTAAATGTCGCATTGCGTGCTAACCTGGTTATAAAAGAGTTTGAAATGGTTTCTAGTGCTTTTAAGCAGCTTGTTTTTCCATTTGCATTAAATTATTTGGAGGAGTTCAGTTTGCCAACTTACCTTCAGTTAAACTACAGACATGACAATATCAGTGCAATCGCATCCTCTGTTGCGGACAAGTTGACTAAATTTAAAAAGATGATAACCAAGCAAATAACAACCACCGAAGAATATGATCAATACATTCGCTCTGCCGCAGAGTTCAAAAGTGACACTGTACCCTTCGAGCCATTTTTTGTATGGCGAAATAATAGTAATAGCTATGCCATATCAAACTTTTTGGATGGAATGAATGTAACCCTGTTCGCTAACATAAGGGAAGGCGTGCCCAAAAACGCAATCAAATTCAACGAGATTGGCGTTCTTCTAAAAACAGTAAATAGATCAGAACAATTAAAGCTAGATGAAATGCTTACTCCTCACGACGGGCTATCATTTGAAGTGAGCATGACTCACCTGGGGATTTCTGATTATCGATGTGGCACCAAGTTTTACACAGTGACAAATAAACCACACACCTTCAATTATATCTACCACCCAGACGGCACAAAGTCAAATCCCAATGAAATGGTTAAAAAAATTAAAAATGGGTCCCCAATGTTAAGCCCCTACACCCCGTGGAGGATCCAACTGACCGGGACCATTCCCGTCGGCTTGCAGAAATACAAAAACAAGATTGATATAGAATTAATGGGGAGAGGTCAATATACTGACCGTAAGGGTGTCGATGATAAGGTATGCAACACAGATTTGGATTCGTTTTATGTATCAAAGGATGATACGTCGTCCCGGGATGACTTTGGACTCATGCAGGAAAGCGAATTTCCTTACATTTAAGCGACGCAGTAGAAAGTCCACACAATACAGGGTGGGTTTTCTCGAAGTGTCAATAATTTGAAGGAAGCTTGGGCACCCCTAGGGGATCATTTTTCACCAATGTACTAGTGGGCGCAAACGTCTTTGTACGGAGATAATTGGTGTTTCAAAATAGGCGATCGCTCTTGCGAGATAGGCACCCGCTGCTACTGAGGGTCGCAGGACCTCACGAGAGGGAGCCGTGGGTCTAGCGGGGATGCTTTGAGTCTCGCGGAGCTGCGGCGGACCTTGCAATTGTCTTTTTGGAGGGGTTGCCGAGGGTCCCAAGAAGCTATCGCGGTGCCCTGCGTAACAGTAGATCTCGCGGCTGTCTTCGCGAGGGTGGCAGGACTCCACGGATAATTCCGCGAAGTCAGTGGCACTCCCGCGAGTACTGCGAGTCCCTTGACATCCTCTCGTGAGACTCCGCCTCCCTAAGAGGCAGCGAGTGCCTACGTCGTAGGCGGAAAGGTAAATTACAAAATAATAATTATCTCCGTTAGACGTTTGCCCCCACTCTAGCCCCCTGGTGAAAAATGATCCGCTAAGGGTGCCTTAGCTTCCCACAAATTACTGACACATTGAGAGAACTCACCCTGTATGTTTAGCCAATCAGCTGAATTTCGTCTCTTACAACTTGGATTAGTAAACATGGGTAGAATGTTAATGCAAAAAACAGGATCTTGTAACTTTTTTTGGAATGTCCTAAAGCTTTTCAATTCTATGAAATCTGTTACTGTGGCTTCTTTGCTTTCATCACTGTATATGTTTAAGGAAGAATGGAAGAAGTTTACACTATCACTGGAGAATACTACGAAGGAAATGGCACAAGCATAGTTGAACTTTGTCGTTCTTAATGTGTATCTTGCAATGAAACTGCAAAGCAAGATTCGTAATATAAAGAACTATCACTTCATTTTATGCTTGCGGCGAATTCACTGTAACATGGCTCAAATATTTCATGATACGACATTTAGAGTGATGGTTGCAGCCTCAATGTAATAGTATGATAAGTTTCCTTACTATGTGTTCACTAATTCGTGTTTTGAGTGTGGCAGGGCAGAGTGTCAGTCTCAAAGATTATATAGAATTGCAAATAAAATGTTTTGAAAGGATATGAATAGCACCCTTTATTATTTACTTACAGGTCTAATGCTGGAATTGCACAGCTTAAGAGCGATTGGTCCTTAAAATGAGAGACAGGGACACGCACACACACAACACAGAGAGGGGGGGGGAATGGGGGGGGGGGGAATGGAATAGAATAGAATAATTTTTATTTAGGTGCTCACCAAAGGGCTGACAAGCCCCACTAACGGCAACGCACCTGCTCCATAAAAGTTTCTTACAATTTGTCAAGTACAAAAATAATAACTAATTTAGGTACACAGTAGTCATAATAGCTATAGACTAGGACATATGAAAGCTGACATGGTTTGGCACTTACAAAGAGACAGAATTCATCCCATATTTACTTAGAGCTAATTCTATTAATGCTTTCTTAAGTTGACTACAAGAGTTCAAATGTAGGTAAGTTGAGATGTTACATTCATTCCACAGGCGACACGAGGAAATAAAAAATGAATTAGCATACTTTTCAGTGCGGTGACGTGGTATTTGAACAGAGAGATGGGTATAGCGATTAGTGCGAGAGTGGACAGAAGACATGAGCACATAATTTTCATAGAGATAGCAAGGCATTTTGAATTTATGGATTTTCCAAGTTAGCAGAGCAATAGCTATTCTTCGCCGGTCCTCAAATTTAAGCACTTTAAGACTAATATATGAAGGGGTGATGTGATCAAATTTTCTTACACCTGTGACAAATCGAATACATGCATTTTGAGCCCTTTGCACTTTTGTTGAGGTATCAACGAGCATGTCAGTAAACAGAATATTACAGTAATCAAACACAGGGAAAACAAGTGATTTGACAACTCTGAGCCTTATCGCTGCTGGTAGGTATGCAAAGTTCCTTCGAATTTGTGCTAGTGTGGCAAACACCCGGTTTACAATATTTATTCCTTGGTAATTCCAGCAGAGAGTGTTGTCCATGGTCACACCCAGATTAACAACTTTTGACTGATATGGTATAGACACTCCATTTATAGAAATTTGCGGGATATTCAAATCTTTGAGCTTGTTTATGTAAGCATTAGAGCCCACTAATATGGGGCTTGTTTTGCCAATGTTAAGAGAGAGATTGTGCTTTGCACTAAAATCAACGATTTTCGACAAATCAGAGTTTGCATTACAACAGGCAGCTACATAGTCTTTAAGATAAAAGCTGATGTAAATCTGGAGATCATCTGCATATAAATGGTATTTACTATAGCAAAGCACATCTGGGATGTCATAAATGTACAGTGAGAAAAGCAACGGCCCTAGCACACTGCCCTGCGGTACACCAGTTTCTGGGCTTAGCCAGTCAGAAATAAAATCGTCACCAGACATAATTCTTTGCAGTCTATCTGTCAGGTACTCTTCAATCCATTTAATTACAGCAGCAGAAAAGCCAAGTGCTTTGAGCTTCACGAGTAACAGTTTGTGATGGACTTTATCGAAAGCTTTACTAAAGTCCAACAGAATCAACAAATTTACCATCCCTTGATCAATAGATTTCCTCAAATCATCAGTAACTTTTATCAGAGCTGTAGTTGTATTATGCCTTTTCTTAAAACCAGATTGGAGTGGATTACTGATGCCATTACTTTCAACATATTCTGTTATTTGCTGGTGAACAATTTTCTCAAGTGCTTTGGGAATCACACATAGAACACTAACAGGGCGAAAATCTTTACACTCCACAGGGTTTTTACACTTTGCTAATGGTCTTATGTTTGCCATTTTCCACACCTTTGCAAAAACACTAGATTGTTAGCTATAATTAAATAAATGTTCAATCACAGGGGGGGGGGGCAGAGGCAGAGAGCATGCCGTGCACTCTGAAAAACTAACAAACTATTTTAGGCATAACAAACACTCGTGTAAATTGACAGAAGGTAAGAAATATGCCTGAAATCCTGATCAAAATTCACGCAGGCAGCAGGGTGCAGCTGGGTGCACTTGCGGTGGGCGAGTGGCAACAGGCAAGCCCTCCCGCATGGCGTCGAGCGGGTGGCATAACGGGGCTTTTGATTTGAAACACCCGGTGCACTGTCCGTCCAGTTTGTACAGACTGCACAGTGGACGAGTGCTGGCGGCCGAAATTCTAGACGCGTTTTGAGCTCCAGAGTCGCTGATGTGAGTGGGACTCGAACCGAACGTGTGACCCCACCAATGGATTGCTCTCCGAACGAGGAATCCATGGGGTCACACGTCCGGTTCGATTCCAATTTGGCAACTCTGGAGCTCAAAACGCATCTATAATTTTGACCCACTCTCATTCCAGGAGCGTGACATCACGTTGAAACGAACGTGACAAACTGTCACGTTCGTTTGAGCATTGTGTCACATTCGTTTGGGTGGGAATTGGCCGAAAATCAGATCGTTCACATTCAAACTAACGTGACACAATGCTCAAACGAACGTGACACTTTGTCACGTTCGTTTCAACGTGATGTCACGTTCTTGGAATGAGAGTGCCGCCTTCACCAGTCTGCTGGCCGACTGTGCGGTCTTGTCCTGGCCATGGCCCCTTACGAAGGCGGGGTAGGCAGTCCCGCCACGCAGCGGAGCTCGGCGGGACAGTATCCTGGAGTCGTAAGGCGCTCCCCACTGCAGTTGGATCACACGTCCGGTTCGAGCACTGTTTCGCGACTCTGGAGCTCAAAACGCGTCTAGGGTGTTGGCCGTCGGCGCCGGTCTTCTGGCAAATCCACTGTGGAGCGGAGCAGATTGACGCGAGCACGAGTGTGCAGCTGTTCGACAGGCTCCGCGCGGAGCAGCCCGGCGCGCCGCACAAGATCGTGGTGCTGCCCGGGGACACGATGCACCCGGGCCTCGGCCTCAGCGAGGAGCACCGCGCCGCGACCGCGCCCTCTGGTGCAGCGCGAGGCCGCCGTCGTGTTCCACCTGGCCACCTCGGTGCGCTTCGACGACCACTGTGCGAAAAAACCACAGTGAATCCCTTTAATTTTTTTGCCGGGATTTACTGTAGTTCAGAACACAGGATTTACTGTGCCTGGCTACAGTATTTACTGTACCTTGTACAGGATATTCCGTACTCCACTCCTGTGGTACAGTAAATCCCGTACAAAGTACAGTGGATCCTGTAAAAAAGGTACAGTAAATCCTGTACTCTGAACAACAGTGACAGCTGTACTAATCACTAAAGGATTTACTGTGATTTTTTCCAACAGTGACCCCTGCCGGAAGGCCGTCTTCACCAACAGGCGTTAGGTCGCCAAAATTTGGGTAACGTCGTCGGCAACGCCGTGTCCCCCGAAGACGCCCTTCCGGGGCCAGGATGACTGGAGGCCTAAACGCCACATGGCGGTCATCGTGGTGCCCCCCGAAGGACGTCATCGGGGACCTCAAGGCGTCGCCGACGACGTCACCCAAATTTGGGCGACGATTTTATGACTGCCCAAAATTTGGTCACCGCTCGCTCGTCACTCAAAATTGAGCGACGATGCGTGCGTCATCCAACGAAAGAGCGATAGTGGTGACTCTTTCATTCTCAGTGCAGCGCCAGGCAAACGCAAACAGCCCGCGAGTCTCCCAGTCGTGTAAATTTTGCCGGAATGCCAGAAACATGTCTGAAAGCCTGGTCAAAATTCGAGCACCTTCTGAAAGCTGAAATTCTATGCATGTCTTACGGTGAAAGGCTGCACCCACATATTATGGTGGAGATTTTCTCCATAATACCAATGAAATTCGTCAAAATATCTAAAAGGTACTGTGAATTCTCAATGGTTATGTTACGAAGTCAGCTGCACCACCATAATATGGAATAATTTCACCATATGGAGAGTCTTCGCTGTAGAACATTTAGAGTGTGATGGCAGGGGGCGGCAACGGCCTAGGAAGCGCGTGAAGCCATGCGCGAGTAAGGTGCAGGGGTTTCTTATTTTGCTTCGATTGGAAGATCCAGCCCGTTGATTGCAAAACGCTTTGCACAGATGAAAAGAGCACAAAATTTGGGGTGCATTAGGCCTAGTAGACTGCCCGATACTTCCAATTCAACCGAACACAAGGGCGGAATCATTTACATCAACATGGCGCATTCGAGTTTTTCCTGAATTTTATGATTTCTCGTGTTTTTTGGTGTTTTCACTGCACCTTTATATAAAGTCAGACGGGAGTTTCGAGAAGAGCAGCCTAATGCACCCGAAATTTCAAGCCCTTTCCATCGGTGCAAAGCGTTTTGAAAAACACTGTCTAGTTTTCATGATCTCGAACAAGTGCGCAACCTCTGCACTGACAGCGCGAGCATCGCTTCACGCTCTCCCCAGGCCGTTGCCACCCCCTGGTGATGGGCTTCCAGCCCAAGCCCAACACGTACCTCTACACCAAGGCCCTGGTCGAGAAGCTGATGGACGACGCGTCTCGCGAGCTCCCCATCGTGGCCAGGCCGACCATCGGTGAGTACCCCTGTCCGTCCACAAATCGAGGGGTCCTATTCAAAAGATCTTATTTGGGCGTTCCCCCCAAGAGAACCTTATCTTAAAAGCAGGCGAATTTTACTCAGTTTGATCATTGGGGACGGATACGAGAGTAAGCGGAATTTCTACATGCACCATTGGTTTCTTTGATCTTTCGTCTTCAGGTTTAAGTGAATAAAGTCACAAATTATATCAATTTGTGGCTGAATCAAATGATCAAACTTAGTGAAATTCGCCTGCGTTTAAGATAAGATTGTCTTGGGGGAAACGACCAGTTAGAATAGGACCCTTCGATAAGAGTGCCAGAGAGGCAGAGCGACAAACAGATCTTCTGAATCGCTCGGTGGGGCCGACGGACAACGCCTCAGCGTCGTGGCGGCAAGGCAGCCAGCGGCAGCCAGGCAGGCTGGCAGCCAAACAGGGAGCCAGGCAGCCAGGCAGGCTGGCAGCCAAACAGGGAGCCAAGCAGCCAGGCAGGCTGGCAGCCAAACAGGGAGCCAGGCAGCCAGGCAGGCTGGCAGCTAAACAGGGAGCCAGGCAGCCAGGCAGCCAGGCAGGCTGGCAGCCAAGC